GCCCAATTACATAAATAATAATCCAAAACAAAAATAAACTAGAAATAAATAAAATAGATGATGTCCTCATCAATTCTCCCGGGATGAGAGAAAAACTTGATCTTGTCGAGTTGATAGATCACTATATGCTGCAGTCAATCTGATATCCAAAATACTTCAAGTCAAGCCATGGGAGACGATCTTTCTGACGAACCAAGTATCGAAATTTCGTGATTGATAATACTGAAAACTGTAATTTCTTCCTAAGAATATAATCTGACCAAGGGGGACAGTCTTTCCTTCTAATCAAGTACTGATACTGGACTCCAAATGACCAGTACTCAAGCACCTTATCTCCAAAATTTTCATATGATTGTACATAATGAAGAGCACAAGAAGCACGTCAACCTACTCAACCAACAAGGAAGTACTGAATCTTAACATCATTGGTCAATATAACACGTTCATTTAAAACAACATCAATTTTATCTTTGTATGCTGTGACAGATAGTATTGCAGTAAAAATATTAATATAGTTAAGTTGAGGGTCCACAAAGCTAAATAAAAAAAGGATCATCAAAGGAAGTTAAACGGTGTATGTAAGTAATGAAGTCCTCAGTATTTAAAGCAAAATGGTAGCCAAAATGTGATGAAAGAGTAATGACATGTGCATTTGGACCAACATGCTTTAAAATTTTAAAAGAACTAGCACTACAAACTTGCAAATATAACATAATTCTCGATATGAAATTCAAAATTTCGTTTATGCAAATCAGCTTGAACTTTATATAATGCATTATTTGCTTCAAGTTGTTTATTGATCTCAATATGCAAATAATGAAAATGACGTACAAATGCCTCAGCTGATATAGATATACTAGCATGTGGGGACATTCGAATAAGGTCTAAGGTTTTCCTAGGGTTATAACCATAAATAACTTCAAAGGGACTCGTACTTATAAACCGATTCACAAAATTGTTATAGGTAATTTGGACTGTTGGGAGAGTCAAATCCCACTTCCCAAGATTTTTCTTGAAAAGGGAATGATTACACAAATCGTCAGTACCTTTGGGTTGGACAAGAGTATGACAAATAACATTTGCCTAAGAGGTATCAGAAACAAGAAGAACAATACCTAGATTCAGAGGAAAAGTTCGAGTACTATCTAGGGGAGCATTCTCACTATCATCCAAGTCATCAAATTCTTCAACTTTAGGTTCATAAATTTGATCTTCTTATCGCTCATCTCTTATGTTCTTTTGTTTTTCAATGACTAAGGCTCGGCTAGGACGTTCATAATAGATGTGGCCAAAGTCCTTACAGTTGAATTACTGGAAGTGAGAAGAAGCCCTTGGAATTTCAAAAATTGTACCCTTATTTTCCAACACGGGAAAAACATTAGACGGGAAAGGTTCTAGAAGAGACTTAATAAGAGGAGGTGGCGATATGGGAGGAACATGAAACAAGAAAGGCTCTACGATAGACTTATGACGAGGTGACGCTGATGAGACGAGTGAACGATGGTGACTACGCTTTTCATATGAAGCACTATTAAATAACTCGTAGTCCCGAGTTAAAGAGTAAGCATGATCAAGAACAGTAACACCTCCAAAGAAAAGCTCACGCCTAAGTTTATCTCTTAGACTTTGTATAAATTTACTCAAAGTTAAGGACTCACCCTCAATGACATGATGCTTCATGCGAAATTCCTCAAATTGAGCAATATACACAGTCATTAACTGACTCCTCTGTTTAAGGGCATTCCATTGAGCAAGAACTTCAAAATCTAAGTAACCATCAAACGTAGGGATGTCTACTTTAGTGTCTCTAAAGGAACTCTCCTTATGACGAGAAACAGAATGAGTACCATGACGACCATGGCCTCGTTCTCGTTCGCTCACCTGATCCTTATCTTTACGATCATATTGAAAATATTTTTGATCATCTTGTTGACGATGATATTGTCTATTGTGGGACACTTTAGAATTATTAACATCAATTGAATGAGGGATTTGCTTAAAATTGTTCAGACTAGCAACTAGATCTCTGCTCTTTTCACGAGTAACAACCATCTCGGTTTGAAAAGCTGCTAATTGAGTTTGTAAGTGTTGCGGCCAGTGACAAGTTGAGCTAATTGTCTAATGAGTGCATCAAATTGGAAAGGGTCCATGTTTAGGTCTGAAACAAGAATTGACAAGACGACCCGTCAGCCACTATGAATGCACTATATTAGCAACTAAATGACGTGCAATAGAGAGATCAATGATAATAAGTGCAAGCAATGAAAATTAACAACTTAAGCCCCTTTTTTAAAAATTTTAAATTTGGAGGATTAAGCAAATTCAAATATTGCAAACTAATACTGTTGATACATGTAAAATAACAAAGCAAGGGTTAAACACTAGTCAAAAGATCTAATCACTTGAAATAGATTGAGGGGTTAAAAGCAAGTCTACAAATGATGAATCAAAACCTCACGCGGGTAAGTAGGGAATCAATGGGAGTTAAGTCATTCAATGATTCTGATAAAATGTGGTTAAGACTAATATTGTCAAGGTAACAATAACACAAGATTTTAATTGATGCAATTTTAAAAATGAAGCAGTAGTATAAACCAATACTAAATAGAGATCAATGACTCCTTGTTTAGTTGCTTGAATTTCTGAAATATGGACTCAGTTATGCTTGTGTCCTATCCTTCTTTACAGATGTCTTTCACTCTAGAAGTCAGCCCCTGTTGATTGTGATTTATACTGGTTATTACTCTGACTCTGTTGTGCATTGGAGTTATAACTAGCGGGTAAGTGGAATTGATTCATGTTGTTGGTCGTTTAAGTGATAAATGGGATATGATAATATGTGTTAAGTGGACTGATTTTATTTTAATTCAAGTAATGGGTTGGGTTATTTTTGAGATGTTTGAATTAGGCTAGAAGTAAGTGGTTGGATGATTATTATGGGATGTAGACTGTGTATAGAAGGGGTAGAGGGTTGAGTTAATTGGGTTTTGGGGGTTATTGGGCTACGTGGGTTTGACTAAGGATAAAAGGAATATTTGTAGTATATTTGGGTTAGGTTATAAGGATTGAAAATTTGTGAAACAGCACTTAACAGCAGCAAACACCTAAAATACTAAAATTGATTTTTTTTTTTGGCAAAAAATGATGAAAAATACTCAAACTGAATTTTTTTTCCTGGGTAAACAGTACCCATGAACAGTAATTTTATTTATTTTTTGAACTGAAAATATTAAAATTGAATTTTTGGGTGTGAATAGTACCCGTGAACGGTAACACGATTTTTTTTTTCTTTTTACAAAGACAGAAAACGAAAAAAAAATGAAAAACGCTGTTTTTACGCTAAATCTTTCAATTGTGCTGTTCTAACAATTTTTGGGAAGAAAATAAGAATAAATTTTGTATTGTATGAGAGGAAATACGCAAGATTCGACTCTGATACCAAATTTGATGCAGGACAAATTAAAAAATAAAAAGAAGAAGCGAGAAAGAAAGAGGGGGGAATCAGAGAAAGCGGATAAGAAACAAAAATTCATGGGGGAGAGGGAGAGAGAGGAAGGAGAAGCCACAGACAACAAACCACCAAAATATTCTTCAATTCATTAAAAACTAATGAAATTACATGGAAAATTATGTTTAAATAGTAAAGACAAAACCCTATCTAGAATGGGCTTGAGCCGATACAAGCTCAATTACATAAATAATAATCCAAAACAAAAATAAAGTAGAAATAAAAAATATAGAAAATGTCCTCATCAATAAGATCCAAGGAAATGAATGAAAACTCCCCTTTTGCATAAGAAAATGTTGCTCATTGACTTTCTATTTTATTTTTTTGTGGGCCAATTTTTCTCTCCTAGAAACTATTACGGAAAGATCCTCGTCCATTACTTAAAGAACCAAATTAATGCCAACATTGGTGGAATTACTGGTGGATAGAATATGTTTGATGCACAATGTTGAATACAGCTTAGCAGTTCAATGGGCAAGAATTTAGTATTTTTTACTTTCTCAATATAATGGACGAGTATTATAGAGTGCTCTTTAATTCAATTCAATCCAACATACAACAATGTTCTGACTAGACCATAAAGCAATGAATAAACCACACTATTATTTTGATATAGAAAGCCCACCAACAAGGTTTTCCCAGGTGGAACCAACTTGGAATCCTAGAGTTTCGTCTCAAAATAAGTGGCTAAAATCTCCATAATTTTATCAAGTGGTCCAGCAAAGATTATATAATCTTGGAAAGATAAAACCACTAAGCTTCTGGCCAATCTACCATTATTATTATTCCAAAAAGATTATGATTCCATTAGACAGCATTTATAGTCATCCTCCATCATTTCCTATCCCAATCCATAACACACCAACCACTGATGCAAGGGAAAATGCCTCAACTGATGAGCGACCACATTCAAGAAATCAATCAGCACTATGATTTTATGTATATGCATTAACAAAGTTGTGAAGGTACAAGAAGACAGAAAATTTGAAATGAACATAATCCAATTTATAAGAACAGATCCCAAGTAATATCAAAATAAATCTGTTAGCGCAATCCAATCCAGATAGGTAAAAGCAATAACCTGTACGCCTAACAAAACAGTAACGGGAAACTTGACATCCTGAATACAATTCTCTTTAGAAACTTATATGTCTAAACCAAAAATAACAAGTCAATACATTCAAGGGTACTGTTTCCATGAATTGTCCTCCCGGTTGTTTCTGAATGCACAACATCCAATGGAATACACAATAATGAGGAAGACGAGGAAAATGATGTTGATAACAGCCACCCTCTTCCAGTCACTCTTGATGTTGTCCAGCATCCCTGCCTTGCACGATTGGCAGTTGTAGCACAAGATATTCGGATCATTGCTCCAGGCAAAGCAGTCGGGATTAGTGAAGGATGAGGTTGGTGTCCCAGTCCAGTTTGTTGGGCTAATGTACTGGAAGTTACAGTCATTAGATGGCTTACAGCAACCAGACTGTGAAAAAAATGTATACGGATTAAGTAATAAACACATCCGCCTTATAATAACAAAAGAGGAATCTATATTAAAAAGATGAATGAACTAGCAAAGTTCTAATTGTTCCAGGAATAAATTTCAAGCAAGAAATGAATATAGGGGTTGGCTTGAAAGAAAGCACTCTTCTTAAGACATCAAGACTTCATGCAGGAGACAAAATCACAAGACGAAATTAATATTTGAAATGCACGCCTGACAGTCCTGTTTTGCCTTTGAAAAAACTCCATACAAACATGCCTCCAAAAAATATACTCTTTCTCCGAAGTTTTTGGTTACAGGAAAACCAGTCGACAGCATACCAACTAATGGCATAAGTATTTACAGTATGACAGCCAAATAAATGTTTCACCGCACTTGACACAAAATCTATACCGTGAAAAATGGTTCCAAGCTTCTGGTGTACATCATAAATGATGAATAGTTAAACGAATTTAGAATTAAGATATCATATTATCAGCGTTATGTACAAGATAAATACACAACGAAAAGAAACATGGAAGAATCAAATCAAGAAGAAAAAATAAAAAACATGCATCAGAGTATCATTGAACTGCTATAGCAACAACTGAAGCGGGAATTAAAATACATGGGATAGTGATAATGCTGTGTAGGAAAACGAAAAAACAAAGGTTTATATGCTGTTAAGGAAATATGAATGAATGAAAAAAATAGAATTCCTTTCCACACAGCCCCAAAAGCTCAATGACACGAAAGATAAAGAAAATCATGTCTATGCTATGGAAATTGACAATGATTGAAGTGATCTCAAATTGCCGCCATAGATATGTGGAAAAAGCTAAAGAAATACATATATTTGTCTAAAAACTCAAAACCTTTTAGATACCAGTAATATTAAGAGACACGAACAAATACTGCACTTTTATTCCAAAAGTACCTTTTCCAAAGAAATTCTAAGTTTAAAAGTCGCTCAACTTTGCAAGAGCACTGGAAATAAACAAAAAGAAAAAATTCTGAAATAAAAGTAAACTTTTCAGTTTTCACTTTTCTAAATTTGACAAATGTTTATGGATCAAACTAAGGGGCTGTTTGACAAAGAAAAGTTGATAAAAAGTTAAAATCTCATAAAACGTGGAGCTGAAAAGTTATATCAAACAAACCATAACAAATTTTTCAAGAAATAAGCCAGAGTATAATTTCAAGAAATTTCACACATATAAATGTAAATTACGGTCACGCCCAGATCTAAAGCAGTTCTGTTCTATCATTCATAATGAATCACAAGAAACACAAGATGAGGGGGCATGTATACCTGAAGGGAAGAAAGGTGTTGTCTGTTAAAATCTTCAACTTTTGTAGATGACCCATCATCAAGAAGCCTCTGACAAATCTTACTATCCTGCAAACAACTCCTAATCTTATTCCAATTATTATCATTATTAACCCTTTTCTGTAGCCAATCTGAATAATCCCCCAATCTATACTCCTTATATCCCCTATCTGAAAGTGCCTCACCAGCGCCCTTATTTGTCACCACAAATGCGAAGATTGTGAAGCAAAACAGAAGAAGAATCAACAAGAACATGACCACTAAATAGACCCATAAAAGACATGAAACCCTACAGCAAGAACCCACTAAACCTGCAATTGAAACCAGCAGAATAAAGACTCCTAAGACTATTACTGGCTTGTCAAGAAATCGCTCGCACTCTGTGTTGGCTTGCTTTGAGAGCCATATTCCCCCTCCTATGATGGGAATTGACAGCAAAAGTGTGATCAGATTGAGAATGCCAACCAAATTGTTACTCACTCGGACCATTATTAGTGGATTCTTGATTCAAGAATGAAAGATTTTCCCAATAGCAAAGCTAAAGTATCAAGAACTTACGGAATTTCTCAAAGAGAGTGGGGAAAGACGGTGCTGATTTCGAGGAGAGCGCGTTTGGGTGTGTGTATATACATGTGGTGAGCAGTCAGTGTCATTCGATATCTAATGTAACAGAAATGGAATTTTACTTTTCTCTTTTTTTATAGAAATTTATTTCTAAATCTAGCAAACAAAATAAAATCTAAGCTATTAGAGACATGTTTGATATTTCTGAGCTGAATAAAATTGGAAAAAAATATTTTGTTACGCATTTTACTAATCATTTCTAATAAATAAAATATTTTATAGGATTAAAAAAAAATGTCTTCTTGAATTTTGTACCACCCATGATCCCCTTCTTCTTCCTTCCATCAGCACATCACCAAAGTAACAGGATAAGGGAAAACATATTATGACATCATCATCCTAAATTTTTGATAGGACATCAGAGTTGTTGGAAAAAACATATTATGGCATGAGCTACGCATTGCTAATTTGTTTTATTTTATTTTTCCAAAAACTCTAATTCACTTTTAAAAAGGGCCGGCAACCCAGATCGGTCCAACTCTATGCTACACAGATGCCCAGCCAGTTTGGTGGCCCGACAGGGCTTGAGTGTCAACGGGCCAAGCTGACCTTGCTCGGGTGGTTGCCACCTATAATATAACTGATATTTAGAATTTCAAAGTAAATTTAAAAATGGTTATTCTTAAACACAACGCAATATGACAAGGAATAACCTAAGTGCATGTTTGGCTCTAATTTTTTACAAAAAAAAAAAAATTAATTTTTTGACCGTTATTTTTCTAAGTCAACCGTCATTTTTTACTTATTTCACAGTTGAGAACCACTTTTCTTTTTAACGGTAAAAAAAAAATTCTCATAATCATTATCAAACAAGCCCTATATTGTAATTCTCATAATCATTATCGAACAAGTCCTAAATTGTGTTTTCCTTTTAATTTGCAATATTCTTAAAGACGGTGCAATATGACAATTTTTTTAAGAATAACCTTTTTTTAACATACAATACATATATATCTACATATCAAACAATTCAAAAATCATTATGATTTCTCTTCCACCACATGCATGCGTAAACTTTCCTTCCATGAGAATGGAGATAAAATCAAATTAAATTTCTAATATATCAAAAATAAGAAAAACATAAAGAGAATAGTTTTATTTGTAATTATATGAGGACAAGAACTTCAATTACTCAATGAATATATTTTAAAAAAAGAAAACTAACGTTCACTTACCGACATGTTTACGTTTATGTTTAAGCAAAAGAATGAGTCGGAGGCAAAATCAAATCTTTAGATTATTACTATTAAGAAACTGCATCCAAATCTTTACTTGACTCATAAGAGCGTCCTCAATACAAAATATAGATTGACGTCTAAGTGTCCTGTAAGTTGAAATTAAGACTTGTTATCTACGTACTACTAATATCTAACGAATAGGTAGTCGAGTCTAAAGTTGATCTTCAAAATTTTTTATCTACAATCCAAACTTCTGTCTATATATTTCTTTTATTTTCTTAAAATAAAAATGTGTCCATATCATATTGCATTGGAAGTACCTATACTGAAATGTTGATACCTGCAGATCACTACATTAGTTCTTGTAACTAACAAATAGAAACAATTCCCAAAAAAAGAAAAAAAGAAAAAAAAAAAAAAAAAAAAAAAAAAAAAATTACCGAAAAAAAAAAAATTTCTCCCCCCCCCCCGTTTAACCAAACACGGGCTTAATGTTCACGAGTTAATTAACAAAGTTCTATTTCTCTATTATTATTTTTTTCTATCAAAAACTATATGTTTATCCATTTTACTCTTAGAACGATATTCTATATTCCTTATACTTGACATCTAAGAGCTCTAAGCTCACTAGTCTAGTTTTGATAAATGGATGTATAATTTAACACCAATTCAAAATTCGAAATCCACAAAATTTGATATCTTTATACTTCTAGTCTTCGATCAAAATACTGTTCTTATTAAATCGCTTCGTCCTCAACTTGAGATATCATTGTTAAGGTGTCCAACTAGATACTGTTATCAAACATGTTACCATTGCAATTGGATAGTGACCAAAAAACCATTATACTCCTCTTCTTCGAAATCTTCCATTCCCTCGAAGGGCAACATCACAGTTCTTGCTTGTGCTTTAAAACTCTATGTCCATAGCATAGTTCTACGACTCAATAATATTATGTACAAGATTTAACTTCTTTTTGTTCTCTAATCTTATCGAGTACTATTCAGCTCCACATGTTCATAAAATTTCATGGAATCCAATGACTTCTATAATTCCACTTTGACTAGAATTTGGAGCTGATTTTGCAATCTTTGTGGCCAAGGGTTTAGGCTATGAGCTCATCAAAGAGTTTGTAAGTTTTCGAGTGTGATAAACCAGCGTTCTGCAAGCTCGGTTCTTGAATCGCCCACGCAAGTTTCTTTTATGGACGGGTCTTCCTATTACTTATGAATTGTAATGCTACAGTCATTGGAAACAATGCTTATCTCTACTGGTTACCTGTGAATCCTCACATCAGTAAAACGTCATTATTTAAGATTAGTAAGGATAAGATGTTTAATGACAAGTGATGCAAGACGAATTAAAGAATAGAAAGAAAAAGCAAGAAAGAGGGGAGAATCGGAGAGAATGGGGGGAGAAACCGATGAAGGAGTAGAAATTCATGGAGGAGAGGAACGAGAAGCCATAGACAACAAACCACCGACATATTCTTCAATTCATCAAAAACTAATGAAATTACATGAGAAATTATGTTTAAATAGTAAAGACAAAACCCTATCTAAAATGGGCTTGGGCCGATACAAGCCCAATTACATAAATAATAATCCAAAACAAAAATAAACTAGAAATAAATAAAATAGATGATGTCCTCATCAATTCTCCCGGGGTGAGAAAAAAACTTGATCTTGTCGAGTTGATAGATCACTATATGCTGCAGTCAATCTGATACCCAAAATACTTCAAGTCAAGTCATGGGAGACGATCTTTCTGACGAACCAAGTATCGAAATTTCGTGATTGATAGTACTGAAAACTGTAATTTATTCCTAAGAATATAATCTGACCAAGGGGGACAGTCTTTCCTTCTAATCAAGTACTGATACTGGACTCCAAATGACCAGTACTCAAGCACCTTATCTCCAAAATTTTCATATGATTGTACATAATGAAGAGCACAAGAAGCACGTCAACCTACTCAACCAACAAGGAAGTACTGAATCTTAACATCATTGGTCAATATAACACGTTCATTTAAAACAACATCAATTTTATCTTTGTATGCTGTGACAGATAGTATTGCAGTAAAAATATTAATATAGTTAAGTTGAGGGTCCACAAAGCTAAATAAAAAAAGGATCATCAAAGGAAGTTAAACGGTGTATGTAAGTAATGAAGTCCTCAGTATTTAAAGCAAAATGGTAGCCAAAATGTGATGAAAGAGCAATGACATGTGCATTTGGACCAACATGCTTTAAAATTTTAAAAGAACTAGCACTACAAACTTGCAATATAACATAATTCTCGATATGAAATTCAAAATTTCGTTTATGCAAATCAGCTTGAACTTTATATGATGCATTACTTGCTTCAAGTTGTTTATTGATCTCAATATGCAAATAATGAAAATGAAGTACAAATGCCTCAGCTGATATAGATATACTAGCATGTGGGGACATTCGAATAAGGTCTAAGGTTTTCCTAGGGTTATAACCATAAATAACTTCAAAGGGACTCGTACTTATAAACCGATTCAGAAAATTGTTATAGGTAATTTGGACTGTTGGGAGAGTCAAATCCCACTTCCCAAGATTTTTCTTGAAAAGGGAATGATTACACAAATCGTCAGTACCTTTGGGTTGGACAAGAGTATGACAAATAACATTTGCCTAAGAGGTATCAGAAACAAGAAGAACAATACCTAGATTCAGAGGAAAAGTTCGAGTACTATCTAGGGGAGCATTCTCACTATCATCCAAGTCATCAAATTCTTCAACTTTAGGTTCATAAATTTGATCTTCTTATCGCTCATCTCTTATGTTCTTTTGTTTTTCAATGACTAAGGCTCGGCTAGGACGTTCATAATAGATGTGGCCAAAGTCCTTACAGTTGAATTACTGGAAGTGAGAAGAAGCCCTTGGAATTTCAAAAATTGTACCCTTATTTTCCAACACGGGAAAAACATTAGACGGGAAAGGTTCTAGAAGGGACTTAATAAGAGGAGGTGGCGATATGGGAGGAACATGAAACAAGAAAGGCTCTATGATAGACTTATGACGAGGTGACGCTGATGAGACGAGTGAACGACGGTGACTACGGTTTTCATATGAAGCACTATTAAATAACTCGTAGTCCCGAGTTAAAGAGTAAGCATGATCAAGAACAGTAACACCTCGAAAGAAAAGCTCACGCCTAAGTTTATCTCTTAGACTTTGTATAAATTTACTCAAAGTTAAGGACTCATCCTCAATGACATGATGCTTCATGCGAAATTCCTCAAATTGAGCAATATACACAGTCATTAACTGACTCCTCTGTTTAAGGGCATTCCATTGAGCAAGAACTTCAAAATCTAAGTAACCATCAAACGTAGGGATGTCTACTTTAGTGTCTCTAAAGGAACTCTCCTTATGACGAGAAACAGAATGAGTACCATGACGACCATGGCCTCGTTCTCGTTCGCTCACCTGATCCTTATCTTTACGATCATATTGAAAATATTTTTGATCATCTTGTTGACGATGATATTGTCTATTGTGGGACACTTTAGAATTATTAACATCAATTGAATGAGGGATTTGCTTAAAATTGTTCGGACTAGCAACTAGATCTTTGCTCTTTTCACGAGTAACAGCCATCTCGGTTTGAAAAGCTGCTAATTGAGTTTGTAAGTGTTGCGGCCAGTGACAAGTTGAGCTAATTGTCTAATGAGTGCATCAAATTGGAAAGGGTCCATGTTTAGGTCTGAAACAAGAATTGACAAGACGACCCGTCAGCCACTATGAATGCACTATATTAGCAACTAAATGACGTGCAATAGAGAGATTAATGATAATAAGTGCAAGCAATGGAAATTAACAACTTAAGCCCCTTTTTTAAAAATTTTAAATTTGGAGGATTAAGCAAATTCAAATATTGCAAACTAATACTGTTGATACATGTAAAATAACAAAGCAAGGGTTAAATACTAGTCAAAAGATCTAATCACTTGAAATAGATTGAGGGGTTAAAAGCAAGTCTACAAATGATGAATCAAAACCTCACGCGGGGTAAGTAGGGAATCAATGGGAGTTAAGTCATTCAATGATTCTGATAAAATGTGGTTAAGACTAATATTGTCAAGGTAACAATAACACAAGATTTTAATTGATGCAATTTTAAAAATGAAGCAGTAGTATAAACCAATACTAAATAGAGATCAATGACTCCTTGTTTAGTTGCTTGAATTTCTGAAATATGGACTCAGTTATGCTTGTGTCCTATCCTTCTTTACAGATGTCTTTCACTCTAGAAGTCAGCCCCTGTTGATTGTGATTTATACTGGTTATTACTCTGACTCTGTTGTGCATTGGAGTTATAACTAGCGGGTAAGTGGAATTGATTCATGTTGTTGGTCGTTTAAGTGATAAATGGGATATGATAATATGTGTTAAGTGGACTGATTTTATTTTAATTCAAGTAATGGGTTGGGTTATTTTTGAGATGTTTGAATTAGGTTAGAAGTAAGTGGTTGGATGATTATTATGGGATGTAGACTGTGTATAGAAGGGGTAGAGGGTTGAGTTAATTGGGTTTTGGGGGTTATTGTGTTGCGTGGGTTTGACTAAGGATAAAAGGACTATTTGTAGTATATTTGGGTTAGGTTATAAGGATTGAAAATTTGTGAAACAGCACTTAACAGCAGCAAACACCTAAAATACTAAAATTGATTTTTTTTTTTTGGCAAAAAATGATGAAAAATACTCAAACTGAATTTTTTTTCCTGGGTAAACAGTACCCATGAACAGTAATTTTATTTATTTTTTGAACTGAAAATATTAAAATTGAATTTTCGGGTGTGAATAGTACCCGTGAACGGTAACACGATTTTTTTTCCTTTTTACAAAGACAGAAAACGAAAAAAAAAATGAAAAACGCTGTTTTTACGCTAAATCTTTCAATTGTGCTGTTCTAACAATTTTTGGGAAGAAAATAAGAATAAATTTTGTATTGTATGAGAGGAAATACGCAAGATTCGACTCTGATACCAAATTTGATGCAGGACAAATTAAAAAATAAAAAGAAGAAGCGAGAAAGAAAGAGGGGGGAATCAGAGAAAGCGGATAAGAAACAAAAATTCATGGGGGAGAGGGAGAGAGAGAGGAAGGAGAAGCCACAGACAACAAATCACCAAAATATTCTTCAATTCATGAAAAACTAATGAAATTACATGGAAAATTATGTTTAAATAGTAAAGACAAAACCCTATCTAGAATGGGCTTGAGCCGATACAAGCTCAATTACATAAATAATAATCCAAAACAAAAATAAACTAGAAATAAATAAAATAGAAAATGTCCTCATCAATAAGATCCAAGGAAATGAATGAAAACTCCCCTTTTGCATAAGAAAATGTTGCTCATTGACTTTCTATTTTATTTTTTTGTGGGCCAATTTTTCTCTCCTAGAAACTATTACGGAAAGATCCTCGTCCATTACTTAAAGAACCAAATTAATGCCAACATTGGTGGAATTACTGGTGGATAGAATATGTTTGATGCACAATGTTGAATACAGCTTAGCAGTTCAATGGGCAAGAATTTAGTATTTTTTACTTTCTCAATATAATGGACGAGTATTATAGAGTGCTCTTTAATTCAATTCAATCCAACATACAACAATGTTCTGACTAGACCATAAAGCAATGAATAAACCACACTATTATTTTGATATAGAAAGCCCACCAACAAGGTTTTCCCAGGTGGAACCAACTTGGAATCCTAGAGTTTCATCTCAAAATAAGTGGCTAAAATCTCCATAAGTTTATCAAGTGGTCCAGCAAAGATTATATAATCTTGGAAAGATAAAACCACTAAGCTTCTGGCCAATCTACCATTATTATTATNAAAAAAAAAGCCTGTAATATAACAGTAAATCCTCAGAAAGTTTGAAGATACATATATTTGGTAAGTTAAAATTGGCAAAATTAGATAGAAAGTTATAAAATTTGGAGCAATCTCATTCATCGTAGTGAACAGATCTTGAAAAACCCGTAGTGCAATTCGAGAAAGAATAAATTCAATCAATTAATTAAACAGAATCATGGAGGCCAGACCAATCCTTCATCGTGATCTAATGCGAATGAATATCCCTGAAAAACTTGAATATTCTTGATTTTGCTCTCCGTTCCAATTTGACAAAGAATAGTATTCAATTATTAAACACGTTATTCATCATTTAATAATAGCTCTCCGATTTATTATTCATAGACTAATAATTACTATTTTTAACTGATGATAAATATAATTATTTTTTCAATCATATTTGATTTGGCATATGAAACGCGTCCTCAATCCAGAATCTTCTCAATTATTAATCTATTATACGTGTCCTGTGTCTGTTTTGAGTATCCACTGAAGACAACGCGGAGGATTATCTTCAAAATCTGCATTTTCTAACTTGAAACAATGGCACATTCTGCCCTCTGCAATCAAAATATTGTCGAAAATATATATATGCAATCAAATTCCACTGCGTTAGTGGAATTGTGGGTCGGCATTATCTCATTATAACATGGACGTCACATGAGGAATCCAACAGATTTTCCACTGCATGCCGCATACTTTTTCATCCACACACTGCGTTCTGTTCCCCACTTCTAAAATTCCCATATTTTGAATTATTTACGTACAAAACCTTAGCATTTACAACTATAAATAGGCTTACATTTCCCTATGTTATTACCACAAAAACGTCAAGCAATAGCAGCCAAGAAAATTTTGTTAGAAGTCTAGTTTTTGCTGTTTTAATTGAGGCCTTGTGTTAAGGCTTTGAAAATGGCAAAGTTCTTGTCATTTTCTGTTCTTTTCTTGCTTCTTTCGACACTGGCAATGGTTTCTGAAAGTAGAGTTACAAGGAAAGATTTGGGTTTGGACTTGGGTGGTATTGGAATCGGGGTGGGTGCTGGAGTTGGGATTGGTTTAGGAGGTGGTGGTAGTGGTTCGGGAGCTGGCGCTGGCTCAGGTTCGGGATCGAGTTCGAGTTCTAGCTCAAGTTCTAGTTCCAGTTCTAGCAGTTCTGGTGGTGGTGGTGGTGGTGGTGGTG